TGCCTCCTGCCCCAAACTCCAGCTAGTACTGCCCAGAGGAGGGGCTGAGCCGCTCCTCGCGGTCACCTTTGCTCTCCTAGCTAGAGCTGCCCGAGGCTTCCGCCTAGCAAGCACAGGAGTCTTTGACGGCCGCAAGCTGGTGAGACAGTGGTGGACTCCCTTCCCACCTTCAAGGGCCAGGAATGCCCCAGGAGATGAGGTGGTGAGTCTTTCTCCAGCTTTCTCTCCTTTCCTGTACCCCCTCCTTCAGATTCTACTTTTTCCCCGAATTTGTCTTCTATAGCTACTCTATACCCTGTATTGATCTTTGTTCATCCCTTAAAATTTGATTGCCTTTAACGGGGACCTAGGCAGCTTGAGGAATCTTCTCCCAAGCTCCCTGGGCTACTGACCAACTTGCCCCGTTTCCTATCTTGTAAATTCTTCCTCTTCCCTCCACCCAGACTTGGTCTCTGCCTCTGCATAGGTCTCTCTTCTTCTTTGAATCTTTTTGTTGGAGGTGTGTGTCCTCTCTTGTGACCCATTTATCCTCTTTCTTCCTAAGTGTGTGGGTTAAAGTAGGAGAAAGAATTAATTTGAGCAGTGGAAAAAGACTGTTAAAACAAGCTGTTGATATTGAGAAATAATTTGAACTTTTCAAGGTCTAAGAAATGCATAAAATTGAAACTTAATTGATATAGGCAAGTGATTATGCAAATACTGCTTTTGGCCCATCCCATTTTGGTCAATTACATAATTTTTATAGAACAATCATTCTCAACTAGCACTTTTTCCAGTGTCTTTAAGATTGTCATTAATTCTCCAAGAAAGTCTTTTTTTAGAAGTTCATTTTTAAAGTCACTGTGGTTGAAAAGGCAATTATGTGCCTCCTGGCAGTGTAAGGGAGTAGCTGTTCCCAGATGCGGCTGCAGGACAGGCTGCCAAAGCCCAGAGCGGAGTCGCTGGTGTGTGGACATCAGAGCCCAGCAGGGTCCTTGGACCCTGGAGTGAGCTGTTCACCCGGTGAATCCCCTCAGTGTTAGAGCTTCCTGGAAGTGGCTGGCACAGGAAGTGCTGAGCGTTGCTGCCAAGGTTTGATGTTTGCAGCTTTGAGGGACACAGTCAGCATGTGGCTCCACCACGAGCAAGAATCACAGGATTCCGGCTCAGCTCAGCCCACTATGGCATCGTTTTAAAAACCCTGGAGAGCCCGAGCTGATGTTGCTCAGTGGTTCGAGTGTCGGCCTGCACACCCAAGGTTCCTGGGTTCAGTTCCCAGTCAGGGGCACGTCCTGAGGTAACCAGTTGATGTGTCTCTCTCACATCTCTCCCTCTCTCTCTCTCTCTCTCTCTCTCTCTCTCTCTCCCCCCCTCCCCCTTCTTCCCTTCTACTCTCTGAAAAGCAATGGGAAAAATAGCCTCAGGTGAGGGTTAACAAAACAAAAAAAGACCCTAAAGAAAGAGTAAAGGCAGGATTTCAGACACTGACAATGTCCATGTTCTTGGACAATTTGCGGAATGTTTTATTTAATGTATCTGGACTGTGGTTTAACTCTCTCTCTGTCTCTCCATCTCTCTGTGTCTCTATGGGTCTCTGTCTCTCTCCCTGTCTCTCTCTCTCTCTCTCTCTACCTCTTTGTCTCTCTCTGTCTCCTTTTGGCTAACCCTAGTGTATAGACATACAGACAGGTAACCAGTTTTCCCATTCACCGCCATTCTGAACTTCACACCCCTCTACCCCAGTGTGGACTTGGCCTGCCAGGCCTGGAGAGCGAGAAGCAGCAAGCGGGAGATGTAGCAACAGACAGGTAACCAGTTTTCCCATTCACTGCCATTCTGAACTTCACACCCCTCTACCCCAGTGTGACTTGGCCTGCTAGGGCTGGAGAGCGAGAAGCAGCAAGCGGGAGATGTAGCAACAGTGACTCGGTTTTGCCCGTGTCCCTGGAGACCAGCAGGAGGAAAACTGAAGAGTGGTGGGGTAACGCAGCAAACTTGCCTAAGTGTCACCAGGGAGGGGACGATGCAGAAAAACAGAGCAAAGGCCTCAAGGGCTGGGAGGCAGGCCAGGACGCAGGCAGGACTGAGTCGCAGAACAACACTCTCCCTTGTCTCTTGCATGATATAAATTATAAAGGAATAGCCAGTTTCCCCCGGGACTGGGCAGCTAGGGAGGGTGAACTCAGAACAAGGCACCCATCCCTATCTCAGGGCTTAGAGGCGGCCCAGGGAAGTGGAGTCAGAAAGACGTGCTCTGTCTCCTACTGCGAGGCTCCAGGCACATTTCCTGACCTCCCTGGGCCTTAATGTCCTTGTCTGTATGTGAGATATTTATGTATTTCCTATTGCAGAGATTAAGTGAGATGATACTAGTACATTACTGGCTGTTATTAGGCACTTAATAATGGGAGCTGCTATTATTTTTACTCATAAGCATGGGTAAAATTTTCTTTCATTCGTTTTGCAAGACTAACATAAAAATTTAAAGAATAGATTATATGTACCCTGGATATTCAGATGAATTAGTACAACTTCAATTTGCCCTCTTAAAGGTTTGATGAACTGAAATCCACATGCCAGACTTGGATCCCATGACCACTGGGTGGGCGAGGTTTCTTTCCCCACCTGCACCAAATAAGAAATAGCTTCAAGAACATCATTCATTCATTTTCTCTGTTGCCCTCACTCCCATCTTCCCTACTTCTGCTTTTCAAAATACATAAATTGTTTAACACTCCAAGCTATTCCTTTCATCTTATAAGAACTATTTCTCATTTTCTGTTAACAAATCTTCTAGCCCTGGCTGGATAGCTCTATTGCATTGTCCCATACACCAAAAGGTTGCAGGTTCAAGTCCCAGTCAGGACACATACCTAGGTTGTGGGTTCAATCCCCGGTTAAGGTGCATGCGGGAGGAACCCCTTTCTCTCTCTCTCTCTCTCTCTCTCTCTCTCTCTCTCTCTCTCTCTCTCCTTCCCCCCTCTCTTTCCCTCTCCCTTCCTTCCTCTCTTTCCCTTTTCCTCCCTTCCTCTCTTTCCCTCTCTCCCTCCCTCTAAACATATCCTCAGGTGAGCACTAGAAAAAAAATTAGAAAAAGAATCTTCTAGAAATCCACATTAGAAAGCTCTAGAGAGAAAATATTTTTGAAGATCTCAGGGTTTTTAAAATTTTTTCTTTGAATCTTTAAGTGCCTTTTTCTTCCCCATTTGCTTCTTACCTCAAGAACAGGTAATAGGAATTAACCCTCACGTTACCAGTTACAGAAAGGCTGTAATTCTCCACGGTTCAGAGAGATGCAGAGTTTTGAGCTAAAATGCTAGACTGGATTTTAAGCACTGTGTACATTGGCTCCCAACTAGGCTAATTTTTCATTTGACAGGCATGATTTTTCCAGTCAAATGCCTCCAGTCAAAGTTGATTTTTAGTTTTCTTTGACATCATAGCATTTTATCAGTACAGTAATCAGAAGTTCTGTTTAAAACAAAATTCTTCAAAATATATATTTCCAGATGCCACTTTATCTCTTCTGGCCTGTTCTCAAAAGTTAACGACACTCACCCGCTCAGCTTATAGCAGGGAAAGGCTTGGCTGTGTTGATAGAAGGAACCTTAAGCCCTGTTCAACTTTGATGTTGACTAATCCTAGCCTTAACACAGAGAGAGGGATGGGGAAGGAGGTGGGGGAAATAACTTGGTACCTGATGGCTTTTCTTTATTTGCGGGGGCGGGGGCAGCAGGGAAGACCTGGGACAGATAAAAATGGGGAGAGGGGAAGGGAGTAAGAAGGGGGGGGAAGAGAGGCTGCCTTTGCAGAATACTTGACTCACAATAACAGGTGTTTTAGCTTTATTTACATTGCACAAAATATTATGGCCTGTACTACTCTGAGACTAAAAATGATTTTTATAGTGACAAAGACTTGATTAACACTTAGTCATTAACATGTACTGGATTCTTTGACTTGTCTTTTCTGGTTAGTTCATGTGTTTTGTAAACTTGCTAAGATTTGAAGGGAAAGTATTGGGTCTCAGTCCACATTCACGAATCCTGAGTTTGGGTTAGCGAGACCTTAGAAAATGGGAAAGGCCGACTGTTTCAACACTTTGGAGGGGTCATCGCGGGTATAGTGACCAAATACCTGACATTCTCAGGACACTCCCAGTTGTGAAATCTGTCCCTGTAAGTGCGCCTGTAGTCTCAGTGTTAGTGCAGTGCAGCCACTTGCACGAGGGTTCAGATCTTATCTCGGTTCCCAGTGCCCAGCTTCTTTAGGGACGTGTCGTGCCCTCGGAGGGCATCTCGCACTTACAGAAACCCCTGGGAGTCTCACTTATTCCAGAGCCACAGTTTAGACACTCGCTCCGAGCAGCGCCTTTGCGGAGCAAACCGCATAACCGCACCTGCCATGGGTGTGTTACATCCCAAGAAAAAAAAGTGCCTTGAGGAACCAGGTCGGGGTGGGATCAAAATACGATTATGGGGGTTTTTTCCAACTGTTCTTTTAGCTGCAGAGCCTGCTTGCTAAATGATACTGTATAGGGAACCTTAGCATATAAAACAGGTCACAGCTGAGGTGGGGAGCTGGAAAACACACCTCTTCCCCAACAACGCCACCCAGTAGCAGGCCTGGGGGACTCCGAGGACCTTGCAGACTAGACCAGAGACTCGGGGTGAGCATCCAGGGAGGTATCTCAGCCCCTGCTTCCAGCTCAGCCAGGTGGGGCCCCCGTTCCAGCTCTGCTTGTGGAAACTCTCCCCGAGGCCCTTTGGCTACTTGTCCCCATGCTTTTCTTGGTGTCAGACAGTGGTCATCTCCCAGGCCACGTGACTGTACCTTCCGGCCTGCAGGTTCTGTTTGGGTGGGTGGCTCCGCAAACCTGGCTCCTCTCGCTTAGCTCCTTCCCCTCCTGTGGGCCCCTGGTGTGGCTGGAAGGCAGTGCAGGTCGGCGGGAGTGGGCACAGGGCGCTCGTTCTCCTGCCTCAGCCGGGTTTCTCCTGATTGCCTTTTGTTTTGTTCACCAGATGATGATTCAGATCTGTACTCTCCTCGATACTCCTTTTCTGAAGACAGTAAGTGACAGAATTTCCTGAGCATGGGGAGGAAGAGGGAGCATTGGATAAGGGGAAGCCTCTTCCTATTTCCTGCTTTCACCAGTTTTAAGTCTTTTGTACCCACTTTTCTTCCCCAGCAAAATCTCCCCTCTCTGTGCCTCGCTCAAAGAGTGAGATGAGCTACATTGACGGTGAGAAGGTAGTTAAGCGGTCGGCCACACTTCCCCTCCCGGCCCGCTCTTCCTCACTGAAATCAAGCCCAGAAAGGTAAGTGCTCCTTCTCCCTGACCCACTGTGACTTCAGGCTGCCACGCAGTGTGGCAGCCAGGTCCCACCTCTCGCTGCTGGGCAGCAGCCGTGGGGCCAGGAGTCGGGCAGACCTGACCTGGAGACCCTCTCTGTCCTGTGTTAGCAGCGACCTTTTCTTTCAGAGTTCATGTTCTTATCTATAAATGGGGACACATTTTACATTTGTCAGGGGTGTTGCAAGGACAAGACAAGGTAGTGCATATAACATTTCTCAGTGCCTGGCCAAGTATGGGCTTAATTCACGTTGGCTATAACTCATCACTTTTTACCTTCTCACAGGAGAAACCTTAGCTGTAAGCTTTGTCATGTGTTTTTATACTCTCTGTGTTTACTGATGGAGCCCGTAGCGGAGAATATAATTTTAACATGAAGTTACACTTTTTAATATCAGTTTATTTGCACAGCACATATTATTGAGACATAGGCATGGATTGGCTGTAATGATGATGTTAGTCATGTCTTGACACCCGCACGGAATGACCCAATATTCTTTCCTTGGGTTCCGATGCCCATGGAGCAACCTTCTTATGCCATCTGGACTGGTATCCCACGCATCTCCCACTGCTTCTCAACACAAAAGAGGCTCTTGCCAAAATGAATTATTTTTCCTGAGAAACACACTTAGTTTCACACCTTCATACCTTTTCCATCTTCATAGACAACTGAATAGCTGTTTTGAAAGTCCCACACATGCACAAGTGGCATCTGCCTCAGGAGTTTGATAATGAATTTGAAAGGAAGGTTGGGTCTGCCTATAAGTTCTTTGCAACGGCATTCATCAAACCGGTGCGTTCTGTGTGCAGACGGGACCACGTGCTGTGGGGGAATATAAGCATATATAAATCATCATCCCTGCCTTGCAGCAAAAACTAAATATAATCACAGTGCAAAGGCAGTCATGTGCGGGCATAAAAACTCTGCAAACAATTTTCAGGGATTCATCTCCTCTGAAACCCACCACTGGATCCGGTCGAATTTGTGTGCCAAAGGCTGCAATTTGGGTGATTACTGGGGTGAAGTGTGGAATAGGAAACAGCACGGTTATAATAGCAAATAACATTTACTGAGTGGTTACTATGAACCTGGTGATTTACATGCACTGTCTCATTTAATCCTTGCAACAACCCCATTTTTCAGATGAGGAAGCTAAGGTAGCAAGAGGTAAAGTCTGTAGCCTGGATCACCAGCGAGCAAGTACTGTCGCAGGGATTGGAACCACAGCTGACTGGCTCCAGGACCTGCATTCTCTCTCCCTGCACGAGCATGAGTGGGAAGTGCAGGCGTGTTTGGGGGATGATAAGCTCAGGAGAGCAGAGCAAGCTTTGTGCTTCCCTCCCTGCCTCCCTCTCTTCTCTGCTTCCTGGTACCTGGTTCCTGGTACCTTAGGCCTTTTGTGAAGCAAACCCAGAGCTTTAACTGGTGGTTTTGAGAAGGGAACCAGCACAACTAAATGCTTTGCATCGAGTCCGATTTTATGCTTTGGATTTAAAAATCCCTTGATTAGACTACTGTCAGCCAATGTCAGAACGTGTTGGATGCCAATTTTCATGAAAACAGCTCTAATAGGATTTTCTTTCTACAGAAACGACTGGGAGCCCCCAGATAAGAAAGTGGATACAAGGAAATACCGTGCAGAGCCCAAAAGCATATACGAGTATCAGCCGGGCAGGTCTTCCGTTCTGAACAACGAAAAGATGGTAATGTGAATATTAAAGTCCCTTTGTCTCACCCTATCGTGTTCTTTGATCCGGATGCATTGTGCACTTGCATCCCATTCTTTCTTCCTTGAGATAGACTTGCTTTGTTTAGAAGACAATGAAAAAATGAAGTATTTTTACCCTTTTCATTTTTGCAGGTGTTCGTAACATAAGTCCTGAGAGTCTGCTTTGAAAGAAGCTCGTCTTGTGGCTTTCTGGCGCTTTTTGTGCATGGTTCTAACTAATTTAGAATTTTCTATTAACATAAAGATTGATTTTGCTGCTGTCTTTTTTTAAACATCTAACCATTGATTTGGCAGGCTTATTACTAACTGGACTAAGTTTGTGGTGTGTTTTTTTAAGTGCCTCTTATTTGAACATGCATAAATTTTGTAGAAGGTACTACTAGTACATCACTAAAAGCTAAAGTAGTTAATATGATGTTGTGATTTGAGGGGGAAAAGCCCCAGGCTGTTAAAACATGTGTTTTAGGTCTTCCTTTTCTGACACGTGCAGTATCGAGGACGAATTTCATAGTCAGTCTGATTTATGGTTCACGTCTCTTCTAAGTGGGGAAGTGGCCTGTGGGGCAGAGCAGACCACCCTGGAAAAGCGGCCTCTTCTGTGAAACGGGGAAGGATTTGTACAAACCCATCAGTTTCCTACCTGCCCATCACACTTCCTTTTATCCATCCTTCCTTTGAAAAAGCTGGTTCAGAATTCTGATCATGGTTAACGGGATTCTCCAAAGCTCTGTGCCACCGCAGCCTCCGCCGGGCCCGCAGGATGGAGCTGTCATGCTGGGAACTGGGTTCTATTAAAATGCTGTTACCACACTGAGCACAGAGCAAGTAACCCCTGAGGTGTGGGGGCGCCTTCTTCTCCCTCTGCCTCTCCCGTGCCACGTGTTTTTCAGGAGCGATTGACTTCACTTTGACGAAGATAAAAGTTTGACATCTTTGAAAGCACAGAGGGATCAGTAATTTTAATTAGGATAAAGCAGCCTGCAGACATGCTCCCGATTGTCATTCCTCAGCATTTTCTGTGCACTGCAGCTATTTTAAGCAAAAAGTTCAAACTTCTCCCTCTGCCTCTCCCGTGCCACGTGTTTTTCAGGAGCGATTGACTTCACTTTGACGAAGATAAAAGTTTGACATCTTTGAAAGCACAAAGGGATCAGTAATTTTAATTAGGATAAAGCAGCCTGCAGACATGCTCCCGATTGTCATTCCTCAGCATTTTCTGTGCACTGCAGCTATTTTAAGCAAAAAGTTCAGAGAGGAGCAGAGAATGTTGCCTGTGGCTCCACCCTTCACTGGAGGCTCTCTCCGTGTTAGAAGATGATAACCTCATTAGGTAACCTTCCCCACAGGTGTTCCAGGAGAGAAAGTCGTGCTCTGGGTGTATTCCTGACACTGGAATAACAAGTCGGGACACGCCGTCACATATCAGCGCACGTGAACGACCTCAGAGTCTGTGTAGGCCTTTGGGTGCGTTGTTTTGGCAGTATTACTATTTACAGATGGTCACTTCTCTCGAAGCCTTGCCCCTAAAATTTCTTCTTTGTTTTCCCCTCCTCTCCTTAGTTCCTAATAATTTGACCACCAATTCAGAACTAGGAATAAAATAACATAGTTTTGTTTCATTCCTTGATATCACTGTGGTTACAAATATCTTCCATGTGTTTACAAACCCAGAGAAGTAACACATAGTAGCCCATAGGCGCCCTCTTTGGGGACCTGCCCTGATCACACGCATGGATCGCAGAGCACCATCTGTGTTCCTACCCAGAAGCCCCTGTGCTGTGCCCAGACCGAGGCCCATCCTGTCGTGGGACGTAGCTCCAGAGGGCCCATCACATTGCATCCGCGAGCTTCCACTCTTAGCGCTCTTCCTCCAGAGACTTCGTTTCAGAGAGAAATTTCAGTCAAACCTCATCTTTGAGCCTCTTTTCATGGTAGTCAAGTTAGTCCTTTATGTTTGATTTCTTTCTCACCTATCTTTGAACAGGAAAGTTGAAATGTTGGTTTCAGTGTGTGAGTCTTGCCTTTTGACATCCCACATCAGGTTTGCCAGAATTTGAAGACAAAGCCCCCACCCCCAGCTCACACACACACACACACACACACACACACACTAAATGTGGATGAGTCTACTAACTAGTGACAGGTGTAGAATCTAAATTTGCTTGCAGGAATACACAATTCCTTTTTGGGAAGGGAGGGGAGAGTAGGGGAACCATGCTTTTGTTTCCAATTTGAGGTCTAGTGACTGCTTAAGCCTGGCGATTTAAGTTGCGACCTCATTGGCACACCTATCTGCTGTGTGCAGGAAGGGTTGAATGGCAGACTGTAAAGGCTGCCTTAGAGCTCATCTTTGTCCCTGGAGCAAATGCCAACCACCAAGATAAATAGAACACTGTACCACCTTCAGAAAGCCCACCAGGAGACGCACAGATTTGACGAGCTACTCGGCTACTTGGCAAAATCATATGAAGTTCTTCCTATCTGCTCGGCCTGTCTTACCGTAGTGTGAATCCACTTCCTCCTCTTCTGGCCTTGGGATTGGAGATATTGGTCAGTCCCTGCTTGGTCAAGAATAGCCGTTTCAGGCTTTGTCCCTTTTACTTTCCTCCCAGCCCCTTACAGGACTTTGACTCAATTCAACAAGTACAGAGAGAATAACGTTTACATGCCAAGCCCTGGGTTAGATGTTGGGGGAAGAGTGGGAAGGAGAGACACGAGCGTAGTCATTTCACAACTTATATTTGCAAGTGTACAATGAGGGGGTTTTCTCAACTTGGTTTCTTCCCAGTTCAGGGTCACTTTGAGTTCCTCCCTGGCTTTTCAGGTCTGTCACTTAGGCCCCGTTTTAGCTTCGTATCATTTGCAAACTGAGTGGGCCCGCCCCCTTCTCGTGGGGAGTGTGAGAAGTGCAATGTGGCTAAAGAGCACCCGGACTTGGAAGACCGAGTTCTGAGTTCATGTTTCGGAGCAGGTCCTTTAACCTTTCTGAACCTCGGTGTTTTCATCTCAACCAGAAGTATTATCTGGCCTGAACTGAGGTCATGAGTGAGAGGACTGAGGGCAAGAATCTGGACAGAAGAACCCTGAACATTATGAAGTGCTGTGCCAATGAACGTACCGCATTCAGATTACTATTTAATTAAAAGTTGAAGCTGGTCTCTGGCTCCTATTCAAGCAACAAAACTGTCCTTGAGGAGAATCAGGCATTTTCCTGGCAAGGCACCCGCCCTTTCCAAGGGTCTTGCCAGCTGGGAAAAGAGGAGCCCGGCAGAGAGCCCTGAGCCTGGCATTGTGGAGCCTGCCCTGCCTGCCGTCCCGAGATCCTGCTGTGCGTCCGGAAGGATCTGTGCTGTTTGTCCGTCCCACCACCGATGGACAGCTGAGTTACGCATGGCCCAGTCAAACGCAGACGGCAGCACTGTGTGTTACCGCTCACTTCCTGGACAGTTCGAGGGACCGAGGCTGCTGCCTGGGCCAAGCTGCTCGACATACCTCCTGACTCAGTCCTTGGCACAGTGTGAACCTCAGCCATGGGACACTTTGCCAATAGCCTTCAGCAATAAAATGGGTTAATTCTTTCAGAACCAAGTACCAAAGCATTCAGGCAGTTTCCTGAAAGAGTTGGTACATTTTATTTTTTAAAGCCTAAGCTATTCCCAGAGAGCAGCTTATAAATAGTCTCTAAAAATAATAAACATGAAATAGGTTTCATGAAACCCCATCATATAAGGACCTAGGATGTCCCAATGCCTTAACTGTTTCTCCTGAAGAGTATGGGTACCGGGCCTCATCTCCCTGAAGAGACACAGAACCCATTCTTTTACATGGTTACAGAGCCCACTGAGGAGGAGCACGGCGTCTCCTTCAAGATTTAAGCCCAAGTCCCTAAAGACGGTGGGGGAGGTTTTAAGCTGGACATTTCCCTCTGGTTTCAACTAACGTATAGTCAGTGAATTTCAGTTAAAGGAACGTTCTCTGTCATATCTTCCTCAATTTAAAACAAATGTAGGGAAAAAATTACAGTGACAGTTCTTCTGATGGAAATAAATATTTTTATTATACTTGCAAAAATAAAAAATAAAACAAACGTAGGAATAATAGAAAGGTTCTTCTAAGGATCTGACAAGAGGAGATGGGTGAAGGTCACTGAGACGGGTGCAGCATCCCTACAAGCTGCAAAGGCCTGAACGTTAAGAGAACCGAGTCCGGGGGAGCTGCTTGGGAGCAGGCGCACTGAGGAGTCCACAGCCCGCAGCCCCTCCTCCTGTGCTGGGACCTGAGGGAGTGACGTTGCTTACATACCATTTTCCACCTCCGTGGGAAATGTACATTTCATATTTCATACCGTTACCGGAAAATCCCCCCCCTTGTGACTATCAAGGTTTTTTGAAACATAGACATGTATGAATTTAATTAAGCCATGAGCCTCTAACACTTTTGTCTGCTGTGAACATATCTCCAGTTTATTAAGGGGAAACATGATTTGCTTTCCAGGCATTCATTTTTAACTAATTATTGCCAGAAACACACGTTATTCCACAGCAAGGTACTAGGACTTTATAAATACTTGATTAAATATGAAATCCCATGGAGTCCATTATCACTCTTTGTGAACTACCTCTGAGAATTCTGTAAAGTGGGAAATCTAACTTATTTTTGTAACATAACCCAGAAGTTTTTCCCTCCCCTGTTCTGCTATCTGTCGTGTTCAGCTTTTCCCTCGCTTTAGTTTTCCCAGCTCTTTAACATTTACTTGTTAGAACATGAAGTATATTCTATCTGTATCCATCCCCTCGGGAGCTTGTTTAAGATGTTTTTTCACTCGTGTCCTCTGTTGTTACTTATATCATCTTTCACTTTACTGTGTAAGGGACATGGTTTCTCACCTACTCATGTGCCATTAAAGATGCAGTATTAACAAATTGGCTTGGATAAAAGTGTCAAAATTTGCGTTTATTTTGAAAACCTTAAGGCAGCCTTGCAAATAAGTACTAAAACTGTGCTAGCCCGTAAAAATTGTTTGCTCTACTCACCTGGCGTAAGTGGCTAAATGTTTGGTGTGCTCACCAGGTTATTTGCTCATAACTAATAGTTCTTGGGGAAGAGGAGATGAGGTCCTTCTTTTCTCCCACAATATGGAAATACTGCTATCCCCGCACTCGTATTCGTGGGGGGCAGCAGTGTGTGCAGAGTTCCCTGTCCACACTCCATCCTCCTGCCTTGGGACTGCGCGTGATGCGCCCACTGCTCCCTCGCTCGGGGGCCCTGTTTCTATAAACACGTCCTTCCCCATCTGTTTTAGCTCCGTGATGTTGCCAGTGTCAGTGGAAACGGGTGATTGCTGCTATTGAATGCAGTTCTGTATATATCTGGAAACCACTGCATCTCTACTGGCCTGTTCCTATGTAATCTTTGCATAATGTTATCCTTCTCTCTCTTCCATTTCCCTGTCACCAACCCCTATAGAGTCGGGATATAAGCCCAGAAGAGATAGATTTAAAGAATGAACCTTGGTATAAATTCTTTTCGGAATTGGAGTTTGGGAAACCGGTAAGTTTAATAGCTTCAGTGGTTATAGACATTTTTAAAAATCATGCTGTTGCTGCATTGTCGCTGCTAAGGAATCAGATCTGTTTGTAAGGACTTCGGGGAGTGGGGAGCCCGTGTCGGTTGTCCTGGTGGGATTATCTGGTCTCACTACCATCTGTAAGCTTTCCGTTGCTTTACTTCACCAAGAAAGGACAGTGAGCTCCGGATTTATTGCCAGAAAATCCCGAGAGACACAACTAGATCCTAGCTCAGCCGTGGGCAAACTACGGCCCGCGGGCCGGATCCGGCCCGGTTGAAATGAATAAAACTAAAAAAAAAAAAAGACCGTACCCTTTTATGTAATGATGTTTACTTTGAATTTATATTAGTTCACACAAACACTCCATCCATGCTTTTGTTCCGGCCCTCCGGTCCAGTTTAAGAACCCATTGTGGCCCTCGAGTCAAAAAGTTTGCCCACCCCTGTCCTAGCTTGTCTCAGTCCCTCCCACCACTAGCAACGAATGCCACGTGCCTGTGGATGACATTAAATTAGCCGTCAATTCAGTTCTGTGGCCAAAGTCCTTGTGGCATACTGAAGATAAGCAGGACAGTGCACCACAGGTGAGCAGACCAGCATGGCCACTGCCTCGGATAGAGCTTCTAAAAGCACCTGTGCAAGGGGAGTGTTGAAGCCGGCCAGAAAGGGTCTATGCAGATGTGATCCACGATTACAACCCCATGTCGGATGACTTTTAGGGAATGAGATCTATGAGTTAGGATAACATTTCCCAAAATTTGAAATGAGAGTTAGGAATTCTAGCAAGTTTAGTGTTGAGCCTAATAATATTCCACAGCTTCCCCCTGATGTGTCTGAGTTGGCTTTGGTACCAAAGGATTTGGGGTACTTAAAGGAGGGTTTCTTAGCCCTGTACTCAGAGGAGTACCCACCAGAAGGGAGAAGGGAGCTCATTTTTCCACTGGAGATGACTGGAAACTGACTTTAAAACTCCAGTTACTTTAAATGTTCACCACTGCAACTGCAAAAAGCATTTACAAGTGGGGGGTTAAGGGTATAAACATAAAATATTTCATTAGATCAGTGGTTCTCAACCTTGGCTGCACATGAGAATCACCTGGGAATCTTTTTAAAATCCTGATTTTGGGGCCTCATCCTCCAGAAATTCTGTTTCTTTGTTATGGGGTGAGGCCACAACATTAGTAACAAAGAAACAGAATTTCCGGAGGATGAGGCCCAGAAATCAGGATTTTAAAAAGATTCCCAGGTGATTCTCATGTGCAGCTAAGGTTGAGAACCACTGCATTAGATGTTCATGTGAGACTTTAAGCATTGCCTCTAGTATTTGAGTCACCGTGGTTTGGAATGATGGTTTTATCTGCAGACAGGAATTAACTTCATAGTTCAGTAAAATGTTAAATTCCGTGGTGTATATTTTTATTAAGATGAAGACAAAGACAAAGTAAGCTGGTGCTTTGGGATTTCTCTGTTGATTTAGCGATGCTGAGCTTTGTTTCAAAGTTCCTGCATCTTCTGAGAGGAGCACCTGACTTGCAAACATCCTGCTTGTAGGACCAGACATTCCTCCCGCCTTGTCCCTCCTGGGACACTGGCTCCTAATAGCAGCTAAGCTGTCCTGGGTGAACAGCGCCACCTAGTGACCAGTGGAGAGGGAAGCGTCTAACCCAGAGTGTGCCCCATCTCCCCTTCCCAAAGCTTTGACGCACACCTCACTTCTCCTTTCTCTCCCTTTTTTCCCTGCTGTCCACCATTCAGACATCAGTGGAGTCTACCCAGGCAGTCTCTTCCACATTCAAATATTTAACAGTATTGTAACCCTTTTCTTTTTCTTAAAACCTGCTCAGTTATCTCACAGAAAATCCTTTTGATATATGTAGTTCCTCCCCTCTCCCCAGTGATTGGTATATATAATAATATATATATATTATGGTATAATAATAATACCATATTTCCATCAGGGAAAACAAAGCTATTTGCTTTAAATTATGTATAAGCAAAAGTCCATGCCATTGAATTTCGAAGTCCATTCAGGTCCACAAATTTCTAGCCGTCTCCTCATTGGCCAAAATAACTAAAATAGTTTTCTCTTTAATGCTAGCTTTTAGGAAACATGAAATGATTCTAATTAATCATTTGTTTTACCAAATCTGTCATTGCAAATAATCCTGGTTTTGTCAGCAAGAGACAGTACTTCTGCCCCAGCACACACTAAGCAGCTCTCTGAGAGCTCGGTGAATGACACCGCTTCTGCGGGAAGCTGGTCTGAGTGCCCCCAGCCACACAGATCCTGGGAGCACAGCCCATTCGTATCCTTGGACCTCCTGTCATTTGTATCCCCAACCTGTTGTGCTAACTGCCTCTTAATTATTTAAAGAAATGCTTTTCCAAAATGTCATTTCTCTCAAGCCACGAGTGTTCCTTACATAGACCTTAGAGTCCTTAAAGGGGACTGCTCCTTTTTGTGCAGGTCTTTTAAAGTAATGAAAGGTAAAACTTTTAAAGACTTACCAAAATAACATAATCGCTGTCTATCCGGAGGGAACAGTGTTGAGACCACAGTTCCGATGGTCTGAGCCATTCGAAGGGTGGGCTTCCTATCTAGTTGAACCAAGTTGAATCTCCTGGCAGATTTCTGTTTTAGCAATTTCTGGATGGCACTCACAGCGTTTGGTAAGAAGGGGAGGTGGGGAGAAATATTTTTCTTCTTTTCACGTCTCTCCTACCCCAGTCGCTCTGGGCCGTACAAGGGTAAGAGACATAAATGAACGTGGCATAAACCAGGAAAGTTGTTTTTGAAGGTTTTGCCGTCATTCAGAAGCAGAATGAAATTAAAACTCCTACCAAAGCATGTGGGTCATCATTTCTGCTTTTTATTCCACACCCACTGCACACCCCCCCC